AACCCAAGTTAAATTGAAGCGTGGAAAAAGGATGTGTTAAATTAAAAAGTATTAAAAGAAAAAATCGAAGAATGTAAAAATGTAAAATTTATTTAAAAAACAGAAAATTAAAAAAAACAAAAAAAACAAAGAAACCAAACTGTATTCAGAAAAACTAAACGATTATTTTTTATTTAATTTTTAAAGCAAGCATTCAAAAAGATATCCGTGTATGGCAAAACACATTCCATCCGTCCGATACATTAGAGTAAAGCGAAAAATTTAAGAGATAAGTGTTGTAGTTACTAGATAAGAAAGAATACATGTAGGTATCCAAGATATTAAGATAACATATATCGACATAAATCTAATTTAATATTGTAGAAGTGGACAGTGTCTTTAATATAATTACTAGTATTTTGATGGATTGTGTTTTGTCCTTCACCCAATGATATCACACCTTTATTTATCTAAAAATTGTGATTATTGCTCCTGTAAATATTCATTCCAAATGGTCATTAAATTATCATCCATGGCCAAACCCTTGTATATTTTTTAACCTTGAACTACCCAACTGACAACCGTTTTTTAAAAACTTTTTTTATTTTATTTAACATTTTTATATCCATTATTCGTAGATTTGTATAAAATTATAGTTGCAAATTTAAAAACTTTTTGTTAGAGGGGGAAAATGTTATTTTGTAGCAAAAAATAATTATAAGTGGAAAACTCTCGGCAAAATTAAATTTTAGAATAAATAAAAAAACAAATTTAAATAAAATACAAAAGGTAAATAATAATTTTATTATGAATTATTTATTCCATCAATGTCTCAATTAATACATAAAAATTAATCAGAATAATATTTTCAAAAATTAAAAATAAACATAATAAACAAATTAAATAAGCATAGTCTCCGGAAAGTATTTAAATAATATTTAAATAGAAGTTTACAGAAAATACGTCGTTAAATTCAGTTATTGCACAAATCTGACCTTATCCAGACTTAACAGAAGCGCTAACTGAAGCGTTGAAAAAACTAACTCAAACATTTTAACTAGAATGCGACAAAGCTTAGTTAGTCTACTCTTAGCTCGTCTACATAAACAGGCTTTTACAGTAAGGTGCAAAAGTTAATTTGCAAAAGTTTTCTATATGACGCATAAACTTTTGCTCCCCAAAATGGGAGGTAAATAAGTTATTACGAGAATAAATTTTGAATGACATGAGATTAAAAAATTTTTTTATGGATATTATAAAAAGCTGACCTACACTTAATTAATATATAATTGATTTAATTCAGGTCCCTTTTATTCCAGAGATTTCTCTGCCTGAAATGTAAACTTTTGCACCTATATGTAACATAGAGAGAATATTGTGGATTTAAGAGGTTTGGAGGGTTATAAAGAGATTTAGATATCGGGGGATAAATGATAGGTATATATACATATCTGTTATAGTAATTATAAAAAATGATGTTGAAAATAAAACAAGATTTTTTAAATAGAGTTTTTTCAAAACTAAAAAATTTGTTCGGTCTCAAAAAAAAATTTAATTTATTTTTTGTGTCTTCGGCAAATAAAATTATAACGATTTTATAGGAAATACAATCAAAACACGAAAAAAAACTTTGGATTTTTAAAACCGTATTTGAAAATTATGAATGGCCTATTAATATAAAAAGTCCGGACTCTTCTTTACGATATTTAAAAATTATTAATAAATTATTGGCTGTCAATTATTAATGCTTGGAAATAAATTCAATAATTATTTTAAATTTTAATAAAATTATTGAATAAAATTCTCGTGAATATTCATATGAGTATTCACGAGGATTTTCTTGTGATTTCTATCCTTGTGAATATTCAAGAGAATTTATTATCCTTATTTTATATAAAAGTTCGGTTCAAACTCGCGCCTTGCACTTTTTTAAATACAGCTTGATATATCCATTAAAGGGCAATTATTACTATTTTCAATGCTATTTTAATTAATTTTTCTCTAATTTACTCAAAAATTGTAAGAGATTATTTCTGGCAATTATGTGGCAATAATGCAATAAAATTTGCCACTCCCTTTTTTCCACTCTTATTGTCTCGATATATACACATAATAATTAACTCTAGTTTAATCATTCAATTAAAATATTTTTTTAATTAAAAATCCCATTTAAAATATAAATATCAATAAACATCAAAAACTTCTGCCGAAGAAAATTGTTTTCTAACAAAAGAAAAATGCGACGCAAGGCAAAATTGTTGTTAATTTTTGCTTTGATTCTCGCCTCGAATTTTAATGTTGGCGCAGCTGCGAAAAACTTTGATAAAGGTATTAATATTTAAAACAGCTTGTGTAAACGATACTCTAAGAACAGTCCTGCAGATGGACACAGATTTTGCCAACCATGTCCGGACTTATCCGTGAGGACAATATCCGATCCGTTTATATCCGTGCAAATTTTGAGTCAAAATTTGCTTCTAGGCATCGGGCAAGTCAAAAAACAACCAGGCAAAGTTTGAAAAATGTTATATGTGGTGAAGGCTAAATCGCAAGCCAAAAATATGTGTTGGTGAATAACAAAAATTGCCAAGCAAGTAAAGGCAAGTGGTTTGGAAAAAATTGTTCTGTGTCTCCCGCCAAAATGTTATGTTTAAGATGAGAAAAATAGGCGGGGATACACACCAAAAAGTCAGAGAAAAAAAATTGAATAAATTTTATGAAAATTAAAAGTGCTAATTCGGCACAGACCTATTTATCGAAAGAATAACATGGTCTTTTTTTCCGATCACGGATCGGACCCAACATTAGATAAACGATAATTTCGTGAATTTTGGAAGGCCTTAATATATATACGCATGGGCGGATATTGGAGCATCATATCAGTATCCATTCGTATCCGTTGGATTAAAAAAACAGCGTCTATATCTATCCGTATCCAGAAATACCCGCGGATCTGGATATTATCCGTATCCATTTGTAAGCATGCTCGAGAGATGTGTTTTTATGAAAGCAACCTTAATATTGTAATATAGTTAGATATAAGTCCCGACCCTTTTATTCTCACTTCCTTTCCTATAAGAAGAAGGCAATAATGTGTCCATTTATTTGCTTTGATCCATTCCTGTTTTGTATATTTAACAACACAAGAAAAAATTTCATAACTCAAAATAAATTTCTTGCTTCGAGTTTTAATGTAACGCCGCTAAAAAAAACCGAGGAAAGTATTAATATTTAATGCCGGTTGTGGAAACTAGTTTCGACCCCGAGAGACCCTATTTTATAAATTTTTTAAAATTATTATAATAATTGGTGTTGATTATTATTCTGTACAAATTTTTATCTTTATAGATGGAGTATTAAAAGAAGATCGTATTAAACGATTAAAACAAATTGCTGAGGAATATAATTCAACTGGAATGACTCGTGAAGGTGTTCTCCGAAATGACCCGATTAAATTCGAGGAATATAAATTTCTTGAAGAAAACAAGGAAAAGTATAAAGATCTTTTTAAAACATTTAATGAAGCTTTTGAAAGACTTGCAATTAAAGTTGCTGAATTTGTGGAAATAAATTTTAAAAATATTAAATTACCATTTGAGGAACCAAAATTTATTGCAAATGAATTAAAAAAATATGATGAACTTATAAAGAATGACAAAACTTTTGGAGAGATAGAAACGGTAATAACTGGCGTTTTTGACTTAAGAAAAACTTTTTAGTTTGTATTCAATTAATTTAGTTGTACCATAGCTCATAATCTCACCGTAAATCTTCTACTTTATGCATACGTGGCTTCTATTTTTCGATCTCTTCGTAGGGTATGCTTCTGTTAGAAATTATTCTTCAATTAGAGACCGTGCTTTTATTAGAGACCGTGCTTTTATTAGTAATTAGATCAATTAGAGACCGTGCCTAGAACAAGATCCACTCCCAAACAGTGGTATAACTCATTTGATGGAGATGACAAAAGAGATAATTAACCTTTGGAATGGTATATAGATATATACTACATTACATATGTACATCATTAAAATATTAATCCAAAAACATGCTAAACCGATTAACCTTATTGATCAACCTAATATTTTAAATTATAGGAATCTAGTAATTCATCAAACACGGAAGTATACTACAAGCCGCTAAAAAATTTAGTCTTAAATTGCAAGATTTTCATTGCAGATTTACATTCAAATGAATCTGAAGGCTTTTTGCTAGATATATATTCTTTAGTGGGAAAAGTACCCAATTCCTTAAAACACCCTTTAGCATTGAAGAATATTCTTGCACTTAATTCTTTGAAAATTATTTTTAATTTATCAAAAATACAAAGCAAAGAAATGGATAAAGCTATTATTGAGGTAATCTACAATAAGCATTTGGAAAATAAAAAGAAATGGAAAAAAGAATATAAAAATGCAGTTGTGGAAGTTTCTGGACCTGTTGGTTTATATGCTGCCTTAAAACTTTTTATTGGTAATCTTAATTATTTTTGGAAATCAAAATAATTGAATAGAAAAACGAAAATTTCTGAAATTTTAATCTTTGAAAAATTTTTTCTGTCTATTTCAGAAGGAATGAATGTGACAGCTGTGAGTAGTTCTTATACCAATTTAGACGATATAATAAAACTTGACATCAACTTGACGTCAGACTTGTTTTTCTTTTTGGGTACTGAATTTGAAAAATTACACCCTGAAGAAGAAAAATCAAAGATAAATTTTCATTATAATATAATTGGCTTAAATATCAAAAATTTTGAACATGCGTTAAGAGAACGCTTAAAAGTTTTGGCAGAATACGTAAAGAAAAAAGAGAAAATTTCGTTTTTCAAATTGCTTTTTGATACAAATGTTTTAGACATTGATACTTCTAATGATAAGCCAAAGGCTATTTTAGATAAAGTTGATGAAGTGGAAAATGTTGAAGTTCCTTTTGATTTATTTTTTTGTGATTTAAATGATGTTGTTATTCTCAACAAAAAAGATCACAATAAAAGGATATTCAAAAAAAGTCAATATAACATGAATATAGAGAAGAAAAGGAATATTTTTTTAGAAAATTTTAGACGATTGATTAAAGAATCATTTTTCCTTTCCCAAAAAATTAGAATACGTTATTATTATATGGATTGTTTATTATTTTATGGTCTGAAGGAGGTAATAGATAATTCTCAAAATCCATTGACTAGGACAGGCAAAGTTTATAAAACATTCCCAAATAGAAAAGAACTTTGGTATAACGATGCTTCCGAGACTGACGAAAATATTTTTGTCAAAATATTTGAGACAAAGGCAAAAATACTGATTGACTCAGAAACACCTATGGCAATTGTTGAATTAATTGAAGAAGTTAAAAATGAAAGGAAGGTAGTGAAAGAGATGAATGATGAGGAGTTTAAAAAGAAATGGAATGAAGCAACAATTGACGAGTTAAAATACAATCATGATAAAGATGTTGCTCAAAAATTAAAAGTGATAAGAAGTGAACAAGCAAAGATTTTGAAAGAAAACTTGAAAGAATTAAAAGTTAAATATGAGAAAATTGAGAAAGAACTAAAAGAATTTAAAACCAAACGTAACAATTTAGAGGTGTCTATAAAATTGAAAGAAAAAATAAACGAAAGAGATGAAATGTCGAAAAAAATAAAAGAAATTGAAGACAAGAACTATAAAGAATCGAAAGTAAAATTAAACACGATAGAAAACGAACAAAAGAAGATATGGGAAGAAAAACTTGAAAAGATAAAATTTGAGAATGAACAAATTTTGAAAGAAAGCATGGAAATTAAGCGCAAGGAAATGCTGGAGAAATATAACGATTTTATTGTAGAATTAATAGAAATGTGGTTTAGAGTTGTTTTTTATCATGTTTATGATAAAGTATATGAAAATGATGCCAAAAAGAAGATAACAATTAAGATAATTAAGGAATCGGAAAAAGGAAAAGCAAGTACTAGTAGTAATATTAAAACTATTCAAGATGAAGAAGATGTTCTTTATTTTAATAAAATTACATTAATTAAAAAAACATTTTTGCCAAAAATTTATGGAAAAGAAAATGCAGTAAAATTGGTTAAAGGAAAAAAAGATTCTGTAATTTTTGTACATATAAACGGAAAAATTACTAAAGAAGGCAAGTTTTAGAAAATGAAGATTAAACAAATAACTAGACAGTAACTGTTATAATTTTTCCTTTTCCCAAGCTGCTTCAATGGCAACTCCTCACCGTTTAGTTGGAAACTGTTTTCAAATTTTAAATTGTTTTTTTGTTTAAACTTCTTATAATCTTTTATTCTTGACAATGCATCAGTTAGTGCACAGAACTTTTAGATTTACGCTGAGCAGCTGTAAAGCGTTGGCACGGATGTTTCCATAGCTTTAACGATAAATTTTTAACAAAATAACTGCGCATGTACTTTTATTAACATTTTTATTTAAACTTTTCAAAGGTTTGATCAATGTTGATAACGCTGTCTTTGCTATCAAAGAATACGAAAGCGAACAAAAGGTTTTAGCGGAGATGTTAAATGAAGCGTAGAAAAAGTCTCAGTCAAATTAAAAGCTATTAAAAGAAAGAAAAATCGAAGAATGTAAAAATGTAAAATTTACGAAGAGAGATTTAAAATTCAAACAAAAAGGAAGAAAACACAATGTGTTCACCCAGACAACGATTATTTTATTTTTAAAACAAACATTCAAAAAGATATCATTTTAGGGCAAAACATATTCCATCCGTCCGATACATTAGAGTAAAACTAAAAATTTTAGAGATAAGAGTGTAGTTACTAGATAAGAAAGAATACACGTAGGTATCAAAGATATTGAAATAACATATATCGACATAAATCTAATTTAATATTGTAGAAGTGAACTGTGTCTATTAATTTAATGTACTTGTATTTTGGATGGAATGTGTTTTGTCCTTCAACGAAAGATAACTCAACCGTTATTTAAAAATTTTGATTATTACCCCTTGTAAATATTTATTCCAAATGGTCATTAAGATATCATCCATGGCCAAACCCTTGTATTTGTTTAACCTTGAACTACCCTACCGAAAACCGTATTTAAAAACTTTTTTTTATTTTATTTAACATTTTTATAACCTTTATTCGTAGATTTGTATAAATTTTAGTAGCAAATTCAAAAACTTTTTTGTTAAAGGGGGAAAATGTTATTTTGTAGCAAAAAATATTTAAAATGGAAAACTCGACAAAACTAAATTTTAGAATAAATAAAAAACAAATTTAAATAAAAAACAAAAGGTAAATAATAATTTTATTATGAATTATTTATTCTATCAATGTCTCAATTAATACATAAAAATTAATCAGAATAATATTTTCAAAAATTAAAAATAATCATAATAAACTAATTAAATAAGCATATTCTCCGAAAAATATTTAAACAAAATTTAAATAGAAGTTTACAGAAAATACGTCGTTAAATTCGGTTATTACACAAATCTGACCTTATCCAGACTTAACAGAAACGCTAATTGAAGAGTTAAAAAAATAACTCAAACATTTTAACTAGAATGTGATAAAGTTTAGTTTGTATACTCTTAGCTCGTCTGATAACCAGTCTTTTACTGTAAGGTGCAAAAGTTTTTTTGCAAAAGTTTTCTATATGACGCATAAACTTTTGCTCCCCCAAAATGGGAGGTAAATAAGTTATTACGAGAATAAATTTTGAATGACATGAGATTAAAAAAATTTTTTGTGGATATTATAAACAGATGACCTACACTTAATTAATACATAATTGATTTAATTCAGGTCCCTTTTCTTCCAGAGATATATCGATTTCTCTGCCTGAAATGTGCCGCCGCATAAACTTTTGCACCTATACATATGTAACATAGAGAGAATATTGTGGATTTAAGAGGTTTGGAGGGTTATCAAAAGATTTAGATATCGGGGGATAAATGATAGGTATATATACATATCTGTTATAGTAATTATAAAAAATGATGTTGAAAATAAAACAAGATTTTTTAAATAGAGTTTTTTCAAAACTAAAAAATTTATTTGGTCTCAAAAAAATTTTAATTTATTTTTTGTGTCTTCGGCAAATAAAATTAAAACGAATTTATAGGAAATAGAATCAGAACACGAAGAAAAACTTTGGATTTTTAAAACCGCATTCAAAAATTATGAATGGCCCCATTAATTTAATAGTGTCCGGACTCTTCTTTACGGATATACTTTTAAAAATTATTAATAAATTATTGGCTATCAATTAATAATGTTTGGGAATAAATTCAATAACAATTTTAAATTTTAATAAAATTATTGAATAAAATTCTTGTGAATATTCACATGATTATTCACGAGGATTTTCTTGTGATTTTTATCCTTGTAAATATTCACGAGAATTTATTATCCTTATTTTATATAAAAGTTCGGTTCAAACTCGCGCCTTGCACTTTTTTTAAATACAGCTTGATATATCCATTAAAGGGCAATTATTAATATATTCAATGCTATTTTAATTTCTTTCTCTCTAATTTCCATATAAAATTTAAAAAATTATCTGGCAATCAATTCTATGTGGAAATAAATTAGATAATTTTACAATCCCTTTAACTGCCTCTTCATATTCCCTCACTATATATAAAATTTCTTACTCCCTAACTTTAACATTTTTAAAAAAATTTTGAAATTAAAAATCTAATTAAAAAGTAACTTCAATTGAAAAAAATTTTTTAACGGAGAAATGCGAGGGAAAGAGAAATTGTTGTTAATTTTTGCTTTGATTCTCGCTTCAAATTTTAATGTTGACGCAGCTGCAAAAAACTTCGATAAAGGTATTAATATTTAAAACAGCTTTTGTAAACGATACTCTAGAACAGTCCTGCAAATGGACACAGATTTTGTCATCCATATCCGGACTTATCCGTGAGGTCAATATCTGATCCTTTTATATCCGTACAAATTTTGAGTCAAAATTTGCTTCTAGGCATCGGGCAAGTAAAAAAACAAACAAGCCAAGTTTAAAAAATGTTATATGTGGTGAAGGCTAAATCCCAAGCCAAAAAATATGTGTGTTGGTGAATAACAAAAATTGCCAAGCAAGTAAAGGCAAGTGGTTTGGAAAAAATTGTTCTGTGTCTCCCGCCAAAATGTTATGTTTAAGATGAGAAAAATAGGCGGGGATACACACCAAAAAGTCAGAGAAAAAAAATTGAATAAATTTTATGAAAATTAAAAGTGCTAATTCGGCACAGACCTATTTATCGAAAGAATAACATAGTCATTTTTTCCGATCACGGATCGGACCCAACATTAGATAAACGATAATTTCGTGAATTTTGGAAGGCCTTAATATATATACGCATGGGCGGATATTGGAGCATCATATCAGTATCCATTCGTATCCGTTGGATTAAAAAAACAGCGTCTATATCTATCCGTATCCAGAAATACCCGCGGATCCGGATATTATCCGTATCCATTTGTAAGCATGCTCGATAGATATGTTTTTATGAAAGCAGCCTTAATATTGGTATTATAGTTGGAGTCATTCATTGATTTTAGAAATATTTTTATTCATTTGTACAGAAAAAGTGTTAAAAGAAAGTCGATTAAAACGATTAGAACAAATTGCTGAGATAGATAATTCAACTGGAATGCCTCGTGGTAGTTTATACTCGTTTGATCCGATAAAATTCGTTGAATATAAATATATGGAAGAAAATGATGAATATAAAAACCTTTTCAAAACATTTAATAGAGCTTTTGAAGGACTGGTAAATAAAGTAATAGAATTTGCACAACAAAATTTACTAAATATTAAACTAAATCCTGATCAAGCTGAAGTTATTGCAAATGAATTAAAAGAGTATGATATAATTGTCGAAAAATCACAAACAAAGATGAAAATGCAAGAGGTAAAGAAACTGGATATATTTTTGAAACTCCGTTTATTTCTATTAGCCTTTCTGAAAAGGGAGTAAAAACAGTACAGTATTAAGTTTGCGCCTTTTGTTTTAATTCCACGCTAAAGGTCTTTACATGAAATCGAAAAGCGTTTTAAAAGAAACTTGTATTGGCATGATAAGGAAAGACATGTAATGGTGTGGCCAGATATCTAGTTCGAGAAAAAAGACAACATATAATTCGAAAAATAGTTGAAATATAGAGTCCCACCCTCAGTTAGAGCCCCAACCTGGAATAGAATCAACCTTAGAGGATAGTTGAAAAATAGGGACCATGGGACTCTAATATGGAAATACTGTATTTTTGACAAACTTTCCGTTTAAGTTCTATTAGATATTAAGCAAATTGGTAATTATTATATTTACCTATCATGTTGAGGATACCGTTAAATCAAAAACAGATATTTTAAATTCTAGGAATCTGCTACTTCACTGGACAGAAAATTATACAAGGAATTGATAAATATTGTTGTAGAATGCAAGATTTTCATTGTATATTTACATTCAAACGGTTCAGAAGGCACCGTGATTGATATATACTCTTTTATGGAAAAAGCAACCTATTTAAACTACCCTGAAACCTTATTTAATTTTACTGCATTAAATGTGTTGAAATTTATATTTAATTTATCAAAAATACAAAGCAAAGAAATAGATAAAGCTATTATTGAGGCAATTTACAATCAGCATTTGGAAAATAAAAGGTTGAGAAAAGAATATAAAAATGTAATTGTGGAGGGTGCTGGTCCAGTTGGTTTATATGCTGCCTTCAAACTTTTTATGGGTAATTTTAATAAATTAAAAGTGATATCACCAAGGAATGACTAAAACATTCCTTATTACATAGTGTTTAATTCTACTAGCTGCGCCAGTATTGAGTTTACTAGCTTTTTCATGGTGGGGGCTGGGGGTATAACTTGAGTTTATTATATTGGAGTTTATTCTCCGTTGAAGACTTTAGTCGTTTGCCGTTTCAGCGAGGTACCAGCAATGTATGATTCTTTCATGATTTTGTTTAGAATCATATAAACTATCGATCTTGTTGTCATTCAATCTTAATCAGCTTGGCGGGTTTTGCTAGAATCTTCCTATAACAATGAGTTCAAACTAAATCAATATATGTAAATAATTTTAAGAAGGAATAAATGTAACTGTTGTGAATAGTCATTCTAACCGTAAAATATATCATACTGTAGTGCAACTT